TAAAACCACAAGCTTGCGTTACTATCAGATTTCTGGTGGTGCTGCCATCAAATAGCGTGTCTGACCCACATCACCCGTCCAATTCATTCACATTCCCCATTCAACCGGCTGTCCACCGCCTCAGTTGGCATTGCCTACCCAGCGCATAACCCTGCAGGTAATTCCCCAAATTAATATTTGCTTAACCCACCGCCTACTTCTAGGTATACATTAGTATTATTTTGATATCACAAATGCAGCACTCTGCCTTTTTCACCGCTTGGCTTAACTATATCGTAATCTTGGTTGAAAAATCTAACGCTCGTAGCATTTGGGGCAGCAAAACTAATTTTATGATGGATTACTTTTCAGCTGAGAAGGGGGATCCTATATTACAGCCTTAAACCGCCCACCACCAACAACTTACACTGCGATAAACGCATTTCTGCAGTGAATCTAATTTTTATGGTCAAGAAAATGTTCGATTTACTTGTGATACATATGGAACATGATTCTAGTTTTAGGTAACATGATGATTATGATTTTGAAAATATTTATTTTAGTGTTGGCTGGAAAAGCGCTAGCGGTGTCGCCAGTGGAGAAGGTTCCACTTATCGTCTTTTCTGGCTGTTCATCAAATTCAACGCTCCTCTGCGCTTATCAACCCTCACCTGACCACTAATAGAACCTCGAAGTGCATTCGCCTTTGTTGACATTTGTAAAATGCAAACAGAACACGCAATGGCGATAGAAAGTCCGTCTGGAAACGGACGTATACAGATACAGATACCGGAGCGGCAAAAGATACGGATACCAGTAGACGAGGACCTAGACGGAGTCTCAAAGCACCAAGCCATCACTCAAAGTGATTAGATCGTCGAGCAGGGTAATCGAGTGTAGCGCTCAAGATACAGATACACAGACACATGGCCGGATGGATAGATAGACAGATAGATAGATAGATGAATGGATGGATACAGATTATGTGGGAGCTTCAATTGGGTTTTCGGTTTTATTGCCCTAATGGGGGAAGTTGGGAATGCCAAATAGAAATGGACATGAGGTCGGAGTTCTTTTCGAGTCGGAGAGTTGCCTGTATTTACGATATTGACACTAGAAATCGTGACTTTTCCATAATGAACGGGATTTACACGTGTTTATGGCAGGTCATAAATGGTTCGACACCTTAAGGAATTCCCTTTACAAAGTTTTCCCCACTTGGCCCTTTCTCCTGTCGGTAATTTCCTTTTGTAGTACCACACGGAGCAAAAGTCAATGCTTAAAATGAAAATATTACTTAAGTTTTTCCACCTCTTAGTGCACTATGAAAAAAGATTCAAAAGGTATTTGTCAGGTTCAGGTTTAAAATGATAAAGTTAAAGCGTTAGTATTTATGTTTTTACTTTAACCTCTAATGATTTTATTTATGTAACGCTTTGATTTTATTTATTACGATTTTCCATACACAACTATTTACTCAAAGGTAATTTTGATTAATTTTGTTTCGATTTTTATTACCAAACATTTCAATCACAGACTGAAAAGTATCTTTTGTTAATTACCTATGTTTAAGTTGCTTACTAGTTTTTTTGGACTGTTTTTAAACCAAGTTATTTACGTTAAAAGCGAATTTTAAATCAAACTTTTGGAGCTGCGTTCTCTGAAAGTTTCTTCTTATCAAATTATTATTTTTTGCTGAGTGCACTTCCTTTGCTGTTTTTCCTGTGTCTACAAAAAAGAGAAGCTTTCAGACTGCATTAAGCTGAATAACTGAGAAGTTCTTTTGGGTTTTTCACAACCCCTTTTCGTCCCGTCTAAAAAACACCTGCTATTTCACCTTTGACAAAGCTCAGACAATCAAAGTGCTTAAGTGCTGCTCCCCAAACAAATGAGACATCATTCCAAGCTTTGCCAAAAGTTTGCTTAAAGTTGCTCTGAAGGAATAATGCATCCACTTCAAAAAAAAAGGTAGATGGTGGAGGGCGGAAAACCCTAATCGTTGTGGGACATGAAATTCATGCCGCATCAAATTACCTATCCTAGAGACTCCGAGCCGGAGAAGAAGATATTATGCAAAATAATATATAATTTTGATAGCACCCAATTTGAGCCTGTCATAACAAGAACAGGCTCACCCCCGTCGACCTCATCCAACCAAAAATCGATATATGTAAAAAATGTTTGCATGACTTTAGGAAATTTAGCAAACTTTTTTCCTTTTCCTTTGTTTTCCTTTTTTGGTGGTTTAGCGTGCGGGTGTGGGTGTGTGTGCTCGTGTTTGTGTGTTTGAGTGCCCCAATATGAAACCTTCATTGATATAAGAAATATCTTTTAAATGCAATAAACCAACGAGAAAACGATAGCTATTGGGGTGGGGAAAAGGGGACAAGGAGTGTGCTCCAAAGGCGGTTTAGGAAAAACAAGACTCATAAAATTAATATGATATAATAAAGAAAAATTTGCAAGCTGCCAAAAGCATAACGATTGATTCTGAATTATAGCCCAAGGGGCAGAAAGAAAAAACCCAGGAAAAGCACCTTACAGCTGTGGTCGAAAAACTATAACCCAAAAGATTAGAAGTTATAAAGATTATTAATATGGTTGAACAACTAATTTTAAAAATAATCATTGTGCTAAAAGCTATATTCGCATTAATAAATTTCAGAAAAGGATTCTAAATAAATACTACTAGAAACATATTGTACATTGTTGTATGAAAATCTTTAATAAAGTTTATTGGGATCTTACTTTTTAAGGCGGCTTAGAATCTATAAAAGTTGGTAAAACAATTTTCTGAATGCAAATTTGTGGTACTTTAAAAATTTTGCACAAAATGTATAGAAAGCTTAAAAGTGAAATAAAAATATATAGATATACGCAAACACACTGTGATCTACCTCGTTGTTTAATACTTTTTCAGATATACGGAATTTGTTTAGTTTTATTAAAATCAGACGACAATATTATTAAGCTGAGACAGAAAATAAATACGAAATTATTTATAAAAAATCGACGTAGCTTCGCTGTTGCTTTAAATGAGTTTAAAGGTAAAACAATTTCATCTCTCATAAAACTGGTGCTATTGACTTGTCCGGAACTGCACTTTGAGGATTGAAGGGAACCTTTGGTTTTGCAATATGTTTGCAGAGGAGGAGATGGATGAACCGAAATCAAATCGAATAAATAACACGCAGAACAGAACCCCAAGAAAAAAGAAACAGCAGCAGCAACCCAAATATGTTCGGCAATCAATGGCAGCCGAAAAAGAAAAACTTTCGATGCCGCAAGGAATTTTCCGAGGGATTAGGGGAGCCATGCGAGGCAGGGGCTGCGGGGTAGGGGGTATGGGGGCGGTGCGGTTGGCCACTTGCTCCACATGCAGCGAAATTAATCATGGCATTGTTCGGCGCTTTTCAAAATAATAAATACTTCAGCGCGACTATAAAATAAATTACTCAAAATCATTTCAATTCACTAACGCAACAAGAGAACCCAGAGGGGAATGGGCCCGAAATGGGGAACGCCAACGCCAACGCCATGTGACTCTAAGCACTGGATCATGACAAAAAAAAAAAATAATTCAGGAGCGGAGCAGTGCGTTCCGCCAGACACGGTGGTGGATCGCGGAACAGTTTCAACTTTTCGGTTTCGGTTTCGGTTCGGAATTCCCCGCGCACGTGTCAACTTCAAAACGAACGAAATGTCAGGGGAATTTGTTGATCATTAATAACGTGGCACAAAAACATTTCGGCCACTTAGGAGCCATGAATGGGCGCAACGGAAATAAGAACAACGGTTCCCAGACAGTTGTCAGCGTCAAAGAAATAATAAAAGTGCCCCTGGCAAAAATTAATCACAGCTCCAAAATGCGAGACAGAAATTTACCGAAATTCTTTTGCTTTAAAAACTCTTTAAGGGATAAGTTTGGCTAACAATTTTTAGCAAATCACGTCATATTGTAGGTAATAAAATGTTAAACTAATAACGAGGATCTATTTAGAGGCAATCTGTTACCAATAAATTCCAAAAAACATTTTTGAATTATTAATTTAACTGACTTCTCTCTCTATTTAGAGTTTATTAAGCTCAGTTAAGTTATGTCAACTAGCGAATGAATTTATATTTTATGGTCACTAGGCAGTTTATAGCGATAAAATGAGTTTAAAAAGATTTGTCTTTACCTTTGCTATTTTGCTACCACATAGTTTATTTTTCTCCTAAAACTCTGTTCCTTCATTTAAAGCTTTTGCGGTTTATATGAAATTGAAACTAAATTCATGTGCATATTTTTGAGGATTTTCTTTCACTTTTTCATTTCTCTTCCTAAAAAAAAAGTGGAACAGCAATATTCGTTTTCCCATTTTTGGCTGATTTTATTATTTTTATTTTCATTGCATTTTTTCGTTTTCATTTTGTTTGTTTTTCGGCGTCGCAGCCACTTCCGCCCAAAACTTTTTGCTTTTGTTTCGTATTTTTCTACTTTTGTTTTTGGAATGGGCAATGGGAATATTTATACGTCAGCGCCTCCCTTTCCACGCTCTCCTCCTCCTTAAATATCACCCTCGTCTTTTGTGTGTGCTTTTTTTTTTAATTTGGAGCAAAATGTCAAAAAGCTACAGAAAATTAAGTAAACAAACTATAAAAGCAGATTATAAAGCTCCATAAACATAAACAACAAGAGCGGTGCCTCTCGAGATATGCAAATGAATTGGAAACTAAGGAAAAACTAACTTGAACCGTTGATAACTTCATTAACAAATTGGATCCGAGATGGGGAGAATTAAAAACAGGGGAGTGCAGCTAGCTTGTAAGTTATTCGTGAATATTCATGGATAGTTTTTCGGTCCGAAAACACTTTAAAAGGCGTCTCATAAATTTGTTCTCCATCCGACTGTTTTATTTAATATGTACCTTTTTTTGAGATTATTTATTCTCTGTTGGCTTGAATTTAGATATTGCGCAAGGGAAGTGAAGTCTGTTTTTTATTGGGAGGCAAATTTAAGAATTATAAATGCATTAAGTCCACTAGTGGCAACAAGGTAATTTAATAATATAACCAGAAAAGTGGCCTTTTGCTTTGTAAGCTTTGTGTCTTGAATGAATTAAAAATTATATGTAAAACACACCAAGATTCAAATCGTTAATAAAATGGCCGAGACTGATTCACAAAAATACGGTGGAGAGGAAGTATATCCGGACTTATTCTTCTCTTTACTATCGCGACATGTGCACAGATATCCCGATGATGGAACGCATATAACGTGGGTGCTCCCTCGACTCATGATTCTATTCGCCAGTGGGAATATGGATTTGGTTACAGACTTCATTACCAATGATATGGTGCACCCAATTGGAAGCGGACTGGTGGCAAGCGTTTTCGTTGAGGAATCAATAAGAGACGAAATGATAAAGAAAATTCGCGTCAACTTAAAACCGATGGATGTGCGCATTCAGCGCCATCCAAACTACCTACAATCGGTTAAGCTAATTGATCGCATGAACTGCTCAACAATCCACATCGAGGAATTCGAGGAATCGGACACGAAAAAGCGGTATGGTCACAGAATGAAAGGATCCCCCATAATAGTTTTGGATTTCCCGCAATACTACTTCGGTAACAAGCCATCGGCTGTGATAACTTTGAGTACTTTTCGAAGCCTCAATGAAGTGGTAAAACTGTATACACGAGAAGGCTTAAACTTCGATTCAGTTTCAGTGTGGACATCCAAATTAGCACAGTGCTTCGATTTGGTAACTAGAATTCCCCAAGCTGCGCAATGGACTTTCAACTGCACCAATGAATCCATTAAGGTCCCAGTATTGCCTGTTCCACCCATTTCTGGAGTTTCAGTCACAGCACACGTTCACTTTGAAGTGCACGTGATTGGTGACAAGGTCAAAACCATAGCGTTTCCAACCAAACAAGCTATTTCAAGCTAATAACTAATACCTTCTTTAAGAAAATGTATAAATTAAATTAAAAGAAGTCCCACAAGAATATCTCACTTGTCCCATCTTTCGCAAGTCCTCGTATTTATATTCCTCACAAAAGAAACCATAAGCCATATTGTAACACATAACTTATAAAAGATAAAACCATAATTTTTCAGAAAATTTACTGTAAAACATAAATCTGTCTGTGTACATAATTTAAAAAGTTATTTGTTTGTTTGTTGTAGCTGGGAAACAATAAATACTGTGGTCTGCAAATTCTTTAGAAGCCGTTAGATGTCCTTTTATAATTCACTTCTTCTGCGATGACTTGAATTTATTTATTATTTGAAAAAAATCTATCCCCTCTTCACCTGCTGACTTTTCTTGAGAAAATCCAGCCATCAATCGGCGGGGAAATATTTATGGGCCGAATGACTCTAATTTGTAAATCTCAAACCCATCGAACACACACACGCGGCAGATAATTTGTCAGATAATGGCTCATCTATCAGTTTTTGACAAGATTGATGGCTAGATAATGCGATTGATAAATCTCCATTATTTTTCAGCATCCTTTCTCTCCATTTTCCTCGAGTTAATTTGAAGCAGGAGAAATTTTCCTGCTCCGCTGAGACAATGATTTGATTTTGGCCATGTCACTTGCCATGTCATCATCACCCTGGAGAGGTGATTTTTCTCCTGATTTCCACACGCCCACCATTTGTCATGGGGAAAAAAGTACACAACAAAAAATGTTGTATTAAGTATTTGGGGCTGCCTAGTATTTGTCATATAGTGGGCATTTAATGTCAGAGACATATTTTAAATCCAAAGGCACTACTTAATAAAAAGCTTATCAAAGTAAATACAGTTAATGGTAATTTAAGCTATCTGGCTATTTCTTTCAGTGCACGGAACTACCATCAACTAAGTAAGTGACTCTCAAGCAATCAAGGCTTATACGGCAGGGGCTAAGAAAAATGTTGCCAGCAATAAAAGTGCCCATTGATTGGCATCATCCGTCGGATGGATTTCTAACCCAATCACACACACTAGCCCATTAATTCAAAGTCATTCACAGCTCACATTGTGATGGAGATGAGGTGACAGTTACTACCCATTCAAGGTGTGATCGTTAAATTGGCCACAAGCCAGGAAAAAAGGGTTCAACACGTCAGCTTTTAGCTTTAACCAATTGATTTCGGATCAAATTTTTGGAAACGTTTAGAATTTAACGAGCGGCACTAAAGGTATTGAATTTCGATAAATAGAAAAAGAAAATAGATATGGTTAGTTTTAAAGATAGTTAGATAGCTTAAGAAAGCATATATTATATGTATGTTAGATATGTCAAGAAGGCATATATTAGATGTTTGTTATAAATGTCAAGAAGGCATAGATGAAATTGTAATTAATAATTTAGGGAGACAAATAATGACACTTCTGATTGCAGGTTGTCAAGTACTTCCCTTTCTCATTTGAAGCGTCCACCCTAATTGCATTAAAAATTGATTTCAATGATCGGGGAGACCACACAAATACAACCAAATTAATTTCCCCACTTCCAAACCGGTTTTCCATGTCATATAATTTTGTCAAATTACTAATTCACTTTGGAACACCGAATCGATAAAGTGGATTACTATCGATTTCTGTGCGAGTGAGTAAAGTAAACACCGGCTATCGTGCATTTTGCTCTCTATTTTTGAGCAACTCCTGCTGTTATAAAAATAGTTGAAAGCATTTCCCGAAAAAGGAAGTCACAAACATAACAAAACACAACAATAACCAAAACAACATCAAAGCAAGGACCACACACACACACACACACTCGCAGCGGAAAATCGCTTATGCAGGAAGCACTTTTCTTGGTGGCTCCTTTGTGCTCAGATTTTCCAGATGCAGCAGAGGAAAGCGCGGAGCGGAGAAAAACTCTTCTCCTAACCCGCTCTCGTCGTTCCATTATTTTTTTGTGTGGGAACGTGATTTCAGCATAATTCCGTATATCAGGGCACAAATGGAGCATGCCACACGTTCGTCGACTGAAGGGGGAAGGGCTTTCGAAGCGAATCCACAGTCACGGCCACAGGCTCAAGGAAAGGACACCCCGCAAAAACACACACACCGAGATATAGAAACCAGACTGCACATTTTCCAGTTTATTGTGCCGCGATAGTCGAAGTCTGCCTTCGTCCTGCTTCCCCCACCAAAAGATCTGGTCAGGTCAAGTACATTATAAGCGACTGCCAGGAATTCTGCACAAAACCTCCACACAAATATAAGAGCAGTCGGCTCAAAACGTCAAGAGTGTTGAAAAAATAAAGTCGATGAACAGGCCGAAAAAACACTTTGACTGATTTGTTTGTGGAGCATATGTAGCATGTAGATGCTAGGGGGTAAAACGAGGAGTGCTAGAAGTTTAAGAACTGAAAAAGTTATCAGTAAATTTACTTTTTGATTCACTCAAGTCGAATATAGTTTATAAGCCAGATAACCAAATTAATTTAAATTCCTGATTAAATTCAATAATCAATATGGTTTATAAGCCAAAAAACCAATTAAATTTAAATTACTGGTTAAATTCAATAAATTTGAATTAGACACCCCAAATAATAATTAAATCTTTAATTTCAAATAGTAACCATGACTTATTTCACTTTTAACATTTAGTGAAAGCCGTCTTTATACCAAACTATGTGCTAAAAGTTACAGAATCAAAGCTAAACTATTTTAAAGACTGAAGAATTAAGTACTATTTTTATTTTCAAGTAACTTTAAATCTTTCTTGCATTTTTTACAACTCTTTAGGCGCCCCTCGTTGACCACTGCGGCCAGAACTAAAAATGAGGCAAAATCCATTGATTCATTGAGTGCCAATTTACAAATCGAAAAGGCAGCCGCCAATGCACAAACAGCAATCTCAAGCGGAATCAGAATCGGAATCGAAATCGGAGCACACACACGGAAATCGAGCAGGGAAGAAAAAAAGGATGGAAAGGCGGTATCGAGGGCTCTCCGCATACATGGAAAACATGAAAATCGAGTGTTTTAATATTTTGAGCCCATTGATTTTTGAGCCACCCGCTGGCCATCGAATATGGCCGTAACCGTACCCAACTACCATATCACCCGTACCCTCTGGCTTCCACATGCATGTGTGTGTTTGCACAAAATTTTTCCCTGGGATTTTCCACAAAATTTTCATTCATTCATTCCGTCTGCCGGCATTGGCTGGGATTTGGGATCTGCGTCGCCGTTGCGGGTGAGTAATTTTTCAAGTATTTTCCATGTTCCCGGCCATGTCTGTGTGCTTAGCTCCTGTTGTGGGTCGAGGGTCGACGGTTGTCCTGTCCTCCGCCAATATTCCCGAAAATCAAAGATTAAAATGAGCAACGAGCCCGATGGTCCCGGTGATAGGGGAAAAGGACCTCCGCCGCGTATTTACAGGAGCGCTTAGCACGGGCAGGGATCGGTTTTGATTTCGTCACCAGATGCTGCTCTTTAGCACCACCCCCACCCCCACCAGCATTTTTCCACAAATTATTGTACAAATATTTGACTTCCCAAGAGCGCAGCACGCGGATGGTGCCAACAAAAAAGCGTAAAAGACAAAAACTTGCTCTACACATTTATTGAATTAATGGATTATTTCTGCGTCAAAACAGCTGCGACCGCTTGCCGATTTGATTTTTTTTTACCTCCCCGGATTATTCAAAGCATTCCCGACCTTTTTTTTTTTATTTATATACTTTGAAACCAGAAACCCTCTTGATGAGAAGGTCTTTAAATGGAAATCAAAGCCAATGCATTTAATTAGATTGAAAATTAACATTTTAATCCATGAAATTGTATAGACATTGAATCGAATTTTCATTTGAGTAATCAGACACAGCAAATAACAATTGGACAGAAGCAACAGAAAAAATGTGGAAAATCGATTTCATTTTATTAAAAGGGAATGCCAGTTAACGTGATGAACTTTGATTGATCGCCCTTTTGACAGACAATCCGAATAAAATTGCTGGACCAAACTGAAAATTGTATGACGGTCTCTGTATTTTTTAATTGAGTAAGGAAAGTCTTAATTCTAATATGTTTAGTTCATGAACACGGCCATTGTGATATTCATTTTATTTTTAAATTTAAAATTTAAACCTAAATATTTGTTTTTTGGACATGCAGGTCAATTAAGCTTTTTCGGGAATTAAAAAAATTTGTTACTCACATTTCCTTCTTTAGCACACTGTAAACGACGCCCCTGACATTTTACTGCAGTTAAGCATACGGTTTGCATGTTCAAATTACATTAAAATCGGGGTAGCAGTGGAAATGGAAATGGAAAAAAGGGCCACAATCACAAAGCACAAAAACCATTTAACAATTTTCTGTTCCAATTGGCCAAAACACACACTTACTAACCCACACACAAAGTGAGAGTTTTGGCCATTTGTAGGCTCGTGTTTAGTCGGTTTTTTTATGGCCCACATGAATTTCAGTTGTGGCCACTCAAAACACAAAAACACACAGGGAAATACAAAACACACACACATGTGCCACAATTTGGCCAAAAAGCTGAACATTAAAATGCACTTGTTAACAAGTAATTTGTTGGGAATGGCAGATATTTGCTTATCGCAGCCATGAAATCAGTTTAGCCGACTAAAAAAAGGTTGAATATTTGATTAGATATAGCCTCGTTAGGGGCATGAACCCTTCGTTCAGAGTGGCAAAAAGGACATAAATGTGTGTGTTTGTGTGTGGGATAGTTGTGACCCTCTGCTCAACTAGGGGGTGAAAAACTATACTCTGTACATGTGAGCAAGTGCATCACTTACAATTAAGATCGTAATCACTTCGAATGGTGTTATAAATAAGTCGAAACCTATGGCCGAGGGGAGTATTACCGGATTACCATAACGAGGCAGCATCTGAAAGCACTTAGAGACCTCCCTCCTCCTCGTCTGTATCTCAATGAGCGGCCATTCGGCATGAATTTAATCTTTATTGGAGGAGTCAGGCAAAGTCAAGTGGGAGAGGAGAGTACTTGAAAATAATGTTTTATAAGGTCTGGTTCTGGAGTCTGTGGTCTGGAGTCTGGCATTCCGTTCCGAAAAATCCCCGCAGGCGAGACAAAATCAATTTCAATCAAACAAATGCAGCGAGTCGAATGAAGAGAAGGAAAGGGGAGTCTCCAGACCAAATC